CCCTATGACTCCCCACACCATGATGCCAGGAGTAACGCTGGTGTGTCTTTCCACAACATTGGCAGTATTGATCGTCTCCCCTCTGTGCCACCATACGCGTACATGACGGCCATTCATGGTAATGCAGAACCGAGATTTATCACTGAACATGTTATAATGCCACCCGTCATCAGTCCATGCCTTGCAGTTATGGAACCACTCCAAATGCAGCCGTCTCTGCGCTGGTGCTAACAGCAGCCTACGCATGGGACAGTGAACCCATAGTCCGGCTGATGCCACTTGTCGAAACATGGTGCAGGATGACATGGGGTTCTGTAATGTTTGCCACACAATATGACGATCCTCCCTTGGTGTGGTCTGTCTTGGGTGACCGGAACCTTCATGACGTGTGGGGGTACCCTCACGTGCCCATTGGTTCCAACATTGGCGACTGTGACATCTGCATGCCCCACATGCCGGGCAATTGCACGATACGACCACCCAGCCTCATGCAAACCCACAATGTGACCCCGATCAAACTCTGTCAAGTGCTGGTAATGCTGTCTAATGCGTCTACGAGGCATCCTCTGTGTCTGGTGACTAGACGTGCCAGCTCCTTGCAAATCGAACCATGCCCATCGCTGGTCTGCACCAGTACAAAATCACATCCAAATCGGACCATTACCTCTGGGTGCTTAAATTTTTTTGTCACCAAGTATATTTTTTATCGTTATGTCATGAGCTGGGCTCCGCAGAAACGTGGTGTTACCACAGTAGACACAGGAGATTTGCAACAAAGAGTGTTCCAGGCTTTTCTTTCACTATTCAAGAAATTCAGGCTCATGTATGAAGCGGAGGAACGACTGCGCTTTCTGGGTGATGATGTGAAGGTGGAGGAGGGGGTTAGAGAGCTGGCAGATCTTCGGGCTACACACGCGGAGACTGTGTTAGAGCTGCGGAAGACCAGAGAGATGCTGCTTCTGCAAAGTCGCATCAACAAAGATTTCCAGGTGCAACACAAACACACAAAAAACAAAATGCATATGCAATATATATACAGCAGTGGCATTTCCAGGATGCCATTCTGGGGTGGGTATCTGGCATGTTGGGTGGGCACTGGTGTTTGGATTGTGTAAGAGGTCTTGGGGAGTCCCCTAGTGGGCAGTTCATGACATGAAAGGGCGACAGCATAAATGTTCAATCGAGGTCTCCAGTCTTATTTATAGTGAGAGCTAGTTGTACAAAGATGATAATTGGCAGAACAATGTATAATACACAATATTTGTTGGTAGGGGTGGGTGAATGCAGTGGCGTGATTCTATTAAATCACTAATTACTGGTTACATTTGGTCTGTCTCTGATGGGTGGACACACACAGACAAAGGCAAACACACACGCACACACACATACACACAAACACACACACATGCACGCACGCACACAGGCACACACAAACGCACACGCACACACACACACACACACACATCTGTGTACAGATATGGTCATGGTTAGATATGACAAAACATGGCCATACCTTCATACGTCTTTCATCTGTATTTTAGAGCTGACTAGATTTTCTTCACTGCCAGGCTGAGTTGAACATTGTCAAGGAGAGAGCAGAGCGAGAGCGAGAGGAAAGTCAGAAGAGGACAGCAGAGAAAGACAGACAGCTGGAAAGAAGAGCCCAAAGAATCACGACTTTACAGGGTGACAGTAATGTGCTTTTAATACCTGCTCTGCAAAGTGATTCATTACCTTTAATAAAAAGCTTTACAGGTCAAGTGAAAAAATGAAATGCCCTTTCCATTTTATATAGATATCCCAAAGTGTGGGCTCTGCAAAGTCTCTAGGAGGCAGAGAACCATCGCTGGACCTGAGGTGAAAGGATCTTCTATCGTTCATGAGGCTTTACAGCTGTTCTCTCTGTTCCTGTCCTGCTTTCAGCTCAGCTCAAGGACTTGGCCTACAGCCCCAGGAGCTATAAACGGACCATTCCACTTCAGTACAACTGGGCTGGGGGTGGCCAAGAGGAAGGGGAGGATGACCTGATCTTTGGGCAGCTGCAGCCCGGAGAGTCCCTGCTAGAGATTCACCTGAGCGGAGCCAGTTTCACGTCTGCGGGGCTCCGGGCCGTGACACAAAGCTCGGAGCCCAGTGAGCGCGAAGCCTCTGGCCAGAAGGTCATGACCTTTTGTACCTATGCCCTTTTGGACTTCGAAATGCACTCCACTCCTCTGGTGTCAGGAGTGCAGCCCAATTACGGCTTCACCTCCCGCTACCCGCTCTCCCCGCTGGACTTCGAAAGGCTGGGAAAGGCAGATGGAAGAATCAGGGCAGAGCTGCACCAGGCTCTTGGCGGGATTCAATTCGTAACTTGCGGTGACGGTTGGATCCCACTGTCTGGAGCCATGGAGAGGAGAGGCGAGCGAGTGAATGGGAAAGCCAGCATCACAGGTCAAGATGAAACACCCTAAGTTCAGATTGAGATATTTGAAAGCAATTTTCAATTTTAGTTTAGGTTAAAGCAGCTCATCTCTGAAGTAATGCACTGTATGTCAATGATACAGTTATGTGCTTAACCCCTTACAGATGTGCGGGGTGAGATTATAGGGATTCTGGAGTTCTGGGTACGCATCTACCCACCTGTGCAGCTGACTTGCAGCCTGGGAGACAGACAGACTTTGCCGAGTGCTCCCTCCCAGGGGGCTTTGAGTTGGCAAGGCTACGTCAGAGAAGTAATAGCATTCATTGTGTTAAATATTCTGTAATCAATGACAGCTATGACAATAATGTGCATAGTTTTTTTTGTTATACCTGCTTTATACTGGTAACACAAAATTCTTCAGTTGCTACTAGTTTACTCTCTTTGTACTTGTTTGACGACTATTACTTAGTGTTGCTCTCTGCTACAGGAGATGTTTGACTTTGGCGGAGGAATTCCTAACGAGCTAGAAGTGGTGCTGGAGCGAGGCGTTGACCTCAGTGCACATTGGCCTGGACTACTTCCAGATGCCTACCTGCTCTACCGTCTCTATGATCTGCCGCCACATGTCTCTCCCACCATCCCTTGCTGCACAAACCCTGTGTTCAATGACTCAGCGTCTTATCCACTGGCGATGACCCAAGACGTGCTGGCCTACCTGCATAGTAACAGTCTGTGGGTCTATGTGTTTGATGACCGTGACGACCGGCTTCCACCATCCTATCTAGCCAAGACACCCATCCCACTACGGCCATTGTCAGTTGGCAGACAAGTCAGAGGTATCTACTTTCATTTTACGTACTGCCTACCTTCACTCGGGGTATAGCTGGTTTGCGCCAGTTTCTCCTCTTTGCAGTTATTTCTTGTCAGGTGACTTTCTGGTGGCTTTTATCCTTGTTAGGTGACTTTGTGCTTAGAGATTCTGGAGGCAGACCAAGGGGCATGGTCAGAGTGTCCCTCCGATGGAAGTACCCCTTTCAGTCACCAGAGGTATCTCAAACTACAAAGGCAATTGACAGAGAGGAACAAGAATGTAGCAGACAACTACACAGACCCACTGCCAAGCCTAGGGTAAAGCACTGCATGTGTTCGTTGGCTTTCAGTTTAAGCGATTGTACATAAGCCAGATAGTATGCATGTTAAATTTGGTTGTGTTACACAGTGTGCTGCCAATGATGTGAAAAAAGTGAGTTTTCAAGGTTACTATCTAAAGTGATTACAGACATTGCAAGGTGGACCAATGGGTGGGTAGAACAATTTTTCTCAAGACCACTCAGTTAGGGTCATTTGGTGGTGTAAAACAGACACTGTATCTAGACGTTACATGTCTCTAGGGCAGGGGTGCCCAACTCCAGTCGTGGGGGGCCAGAGCCCTGCACACTTTTGGGTTTCCTCTCATTTAACAAACTTGATTCAACTCCTTGTGCTAATTACCACACAGCTCTTCAGCTGAATCATTCATGGTGGAACAGGGAAAGAACTAAGCTACACAGGGCTCTGGCCCTCCAGGACTGCAGTTGGGTACCCCTACTCTAGGGCATTGGTTTCCCCATGGAAAGACAATGGCTATAGGGGTACTTCAAGGGAAGTGCCTGTTCCATGCTTTTTTGGCAAAAATAATTTTCATTTACAAGTTGTAAGTCTTCCACAGTCTTTGCAGAATCGTCCAGGCCACTGGTGTTTAAACTTAAATGGCTCCCTGACCAGATCAACATTACCCAAAGAGCTTTGGATTTTATGGAAATGGTTCTTATATATCACATGACCTTCAATTCTCCCTGTACTGTGTTACTGTCTTCTGGGTTCTAGTTTCTTCCTGCAGTCCAAAGATGAATTGCTGTCTCTAAAATGTCCGCAGTGCTTGTTGGAAGATGGATGTGCATATATAAGTTTGCTTCTCTTATGCTTCCTGTTTGCCAGACTAAGACAGGCCTCCCCAAATGTGAGATGGTTTGCAGAGACTCCCATACACCGGTCAGTCACACACATACTCCTCTTTCTATTACAGATACAAACCCAGACACATTTGTTCCAGCTAACTTTCACATATATAGCTGCCTTTGCATTCTCTCTCACATACACATTCAGTGGAAATAAAATCTTGTGCATGTACACATGGTGCATGTTTTTGTTTAATGATTTTTGGTTGACAATATAACACCTTCCCCTCTTTCTCTAGTCCAGGCCTCTATCAGCTATCTTGAGACGGCCGGGAAGTGTCCCCTTTAAGGCACCTGAGTCAGAGAGAGGCCCCTCTCATTGGTCAGCGGACCTTGCGACGCCCTGCCTCGTGTCAAGCGGAAATCAAGTTGCATCCCTGCAGCCACCTGCCAGGAAGCGAACCTCACGCCTGAGGTCACATGTCCTGGTGCGGGGAAAACCTCAGCCTACTTCTCTACGCCCTGCAAACAGCCCAATTCTTGAATTCCAACACAAGGTGATCAATACTTGTTTAAATGTATATGGCCATGAACTGAACTGGGCCACTTTTCATTACAGCACTCCTAGAATCTCTTCTACATGCAAAAAGAACCACCAGCGCAACCCAAAGAGGAAAAAAAGAGAGCTTGACCTTGTGAAAGGGGTAAAACTGGGCAGCATAGAGATGGAAATCACAAGAATAACAGGAAAATTGAGTAATGTGAAAAATTAACACTAACAAGAAAAGGTTAGGTAGGATTAAGAAGGTGAGATTTGGAGGAATGAGGAGCAGAGAAAATAGCACTGAATAAGGAATAAAGACAAAAGGATTAGAGAGCTGGAGGACCTAAACATAATAGCAGAAACTTTACAAGCCCAATATGCAATCATCCAAACAGGAAGGTCCGTCCGTAGAGGACGAAGCAGGGACAAACACTCCTGTGGGAGAAGAGGATGAAGACGAGGAGTGTGGGAGAAATGAAAAAGGTAACTACCTTGCAGTTCATTATACTTTTGTTGGTATCTTCATTTTTTTCTGGTTCAGCTCAGATTGAAAAAAAAAATAAACAGATTGATTCATTATTTATTTATCGATCTCAAGCTTCTTTTCATGCTGATTCATGAATAGTTTTCCCATAAATAGTTCATGTGGACAGTGATGTCACTGAATCCGGTGAATCAAGAGCATCCTCTGACAGTGATGTCATCATAGTACCAAAGCCATCTGAGCTGCATGTGGAGGTAAGGGGTCTGGGGTTGTGCACAATAGAGAAGTACGACCAGAATATTATACTTCTTACAAGTACAGAAAAAATTTGCCCTAGTTTGTTTCTCAATATCTCAATACCAAATTAGTACAATATAATGCTTGGTATTTCATTTGTAAAGATTAACATTTTTGTTTCTTCACTCTTCCTCAGGAAAATAAACTGCATGTGGAGATTCTCTCTCTGTCTTTTCATTCCACCTCCAATGTTGCTCTTGACCAGTCAGTGCAGCAAGTTTATGTTGAGTACCGCCTGTTCGGGGTTCCCATGGAAACCACAGAGACACCTATGTCTCTTCGTAAACCAACTTGTGGAGAAGAAATACATTACAACTTCACAAGAGGTGTGTGTATGTGTCTCTGTGAAATAGTAACCAGAATAGTATCCTTAGAGCTTTAGTTAAAGTAGCCTTCATCATGAGATCTATCAGTTTATCAGAGCTATTCTTAGTGTCACAGCTAAGCCCTGGACGTCTTAGATCAGGGTTTCTCAAACTGGTCCTTGGGGAGCAGAGGTGGACAAAGCACACAGCTCCATTACTCGAGTCAAAATATAGATACTCCTGGTGAAATATTACTCTGATTCAAGTTAAAGTTGTTCAGTCAAATTTTCACTTGAGTTAAAGTACTAGAGTAATTGCTTTTTTTTTGCTGCCACGATGCACTGATAACCTACTGAATGCACTGATTTGTGGAAAGCTTTGGAATATGCTACAATGCCTATAGCAGGGCTCTTCAAAGCTGGACCTCGATTCCAAATCCAGGTCTTGTTTTCAGTTCTCCCAGGTAGTTAGTTTACTGATTCTGATTGGCCACAGGGGCTTCACATCTGACTCACAGGAAAAGGAATGCTGGAAAATCAGCAGGGTTTTGCCCTTGTGGACCATAATTTGAATAACCCTAGCTTATATTAACACAACTGAATTTAATTTAAATTTGAATTTGAGACCGCCCATCTCACCCCCAGTTCTGTTCGGACCCAGTTCTGGCAGTTTGAACACTGTTTTAGATCCTAACAAAAGTCCTGGAGGCCACTATGGGAGATTTAGTAATTGCTATGATATTGCATAAGTTACTGTTCATAAGTCCTTGCCTATATTTTGATGAAGAATACAAAGATCTGGATTCTGTTAAAAGCCCAAAAGTCTCTAAGCTTTGTTCATAATTCACTGCTCTTTTCTTTCTCAGTTCTGTGCACAGAGCCCTATCTAACCAACTGAATGGGGGATGAAGAAAATGGACAGTCCTACTCCACGTTCATTCATGTCTTAGTCCATCCTTTGAAACCTCCTTCTCTCTCTCTCTATCAGTGATTTATGTGGACAGAGCAGAGGCAGCACCCCTCAGACAATATCTCTACACTATGCTGGAGGGTACTGACCCCAACCATGGAAGGTATGTTGTGAGTTTGTGTTGGTGTTGTTTTTTTTGTGGTGGGGGGGGGGGGCAGTTAAGTGTGTTATTCAATAGATATCTCCTTTGTCATCTGGCTGAAACTTGTTTCCATCCAGATTGAAGTTCACAGTGGTGAGTGAGCCAATGGATGAGCAGGAGGAGGAGTGTGTGGATATTGGCCACGCCTACCTAGATTTGCAGGAACTTCTGCTGACAGGAAATGATGTCATTGAGCGCAAAATTGACAGTGAGCGTCCTCTTACTTTATTATGTCTCACCGATTATGAAGATACTCTGGGAAAATGGTATTTCATGGTATTACTCTTTTTGTCTGTTTCACTCCACCCTTTTTTTTCTGGTTTGTCTCCCAGTTTACAGTGTGGGTGAAGATCTGGAGGTGGTGGGCAAGCTGAAGGTATCTCTGGAAGCAGCTCAGACTCTGACAGGAATTTACTGGGAGTATCGTAACTTGAGAGAAAGAGAGGATGAGCAGAAAAAATATGAGGAAGGAAAAACTGAAGCAGAAGATATGAGTATGGAACCTCTTCAATCTGAGAAGGATGATGACTGTGATAACCACAACAGATAAATATTGACATGCTACCTGGAAAGTGCTTATGTGATGCTGTTTGAAAGTAAAACAGACAATTCTAAAAAGAAACACTAAATGAGAGTTATGATACTCAATTGAATCAATTGTCAATTATACAGCATCCAAGGGAGATAATGGCCACATTTAGAAAATATATGATGTCAGTTAATTAGTATCTATGACGTGGCACAACTGGTGGCTCCTCTATGAAACAATTAAATGGCTTGAATTAGAGCAGTGAAGGGATCATAATCCATCTGCTTTACTATTTGTGAAGCTGGATTTTTTTTGAACCAGAAAGAATTGGAAAAGCAACCTAACCTGCAGACCCAAATTCTATAAATGATACAATCCAACATAGATAACAGCAGGCATATCTGGCCAGTACAAGAGATACAGTTAGTGTATCTGAGGGTGAGAAAGGACGGATGGGACAGCCATGTGACTAGCAAGCACCCCAGTGGGAATCTGTCAAAATCTATTAAAAATTATAGCGGAAATTAATGTTTTACATGCTGACTTCCAATTATTTTCCATCACCGTAACATTGTTTTCTGGTAAATGTGAGACTGCCCTACACAGCTCACTCACCCTGTAGATTTAAGTTCTAAATCCTCATATTCCCAATTTATTGGAGAGGAAAAACACGTATCCATAGAATTTTTCTGTTAACCCTGCTATACACTGACTTAAAATAAAGTGCAAATTTATGAAAATAATAAAGAAACCAATTTTACCTACTTACCTCAGGGATAGACCCACACAGTATATAAATCATTAAAATAAAAATGGTTTTGGACCAACAGTAGCCCAGTAAGATCAGTAATAGAATAAGCTTAATAAGGATTTTGCTTTATACATTATCCTAGGAACATTCAAGGTTACTACAGCAGTCTCCCAGAGACTTAACCACCTACCAGAACAAATTATGCCTGGCAAAATAATGTTAATTATTGAACTGACTTGCTCTCACTTCCAGTTCAGCATCCATGCTCGACTGCACAGAACCATCTTGGTGTTTGCTAACACATACAAGGTTGTTGCTACATTTCAAGCTAGCAATCCACTGCTGAACAGTTTTATTAAAAATATACCGTTTCATAATACAAAAAGGAAAATCCAACACAATGTGTCATTTTGTATCTAAACAAAAATCAACTCTTTAACAACACAACTCTTTTACATCAGACATTTACCATTCAGTCAGTCTAGTATTTCATCCAAACCCAATATCTAAACAGCACCCTCCTCCCTGACGATATCTACATGTTCTTGGGTTTGGAAATCACCCCGTCAGGGTAACGCTTCTTAAATCGTGCTACGACGTCAGGGTCCAACAGGTGGATGCCATCCAGCTGATTTCCGAGGGTCACCCTGGCAGAGGGCAGAAGGTTGGGGAAGGGGGTGTTTTAGCGAACATCAAAAGCCAAAAAAGTGTTCGGCTACATGCAGACAGACTAGATTGCACTTGATTAATAAACATTACCTTCAGAGGCTCCAGAAGCTCACAGCAAAAAAACAGCAGGCATTTGCTGAGGATATCAGGTTTAAACAGCTTACCAGTTGGGCTGTACGTTGTGAGGCCGGCCGAAGAGCTCGATCTTCCTGGTGCCGGGGGAAAGGCGTTCTATCATTCCGTAGATTTCATCAGGCTTGTGGCTGGTGGAGCGAACCTGCAGCCGGGTCAAAGGTAGCTACCGTAAGCACTACTATGGGAGGCCACGCGCAGAGCCCAAACAGCTGGGTCGCTTCATTACATTCTTCTCATCTCAAAATTTATATCCAAATAATACAGCATCTAACAAGAAAACGTGGAGAAAGATTCTGATAGGACAGAACCTTAAGGGAAACCTTAAAGAACAGTACAAAACAAGGCTTATAAAGATAAGGAATACCAGACTAGAATAATTGTGCATTAAACAATCAGGCTGCAAAAGGACATTTTATGTAAAATCTGTGAATGTGACCCCTGACCTCTGCAACAATGACATCACAGTCCAGGCCCCTGTTGAAGCCTTGAGGATTCCCTTTCACGCCCACCTGGAGAGAGACACACACTGTAAGAGAACCATACGACTACATACACTACAAAGTGAACATGATTCCAGCATACTGACTCACACAGACACACATACCAGGCAGTGCTCCTTGCCATGGTTCAGCCAGTGACCAGTTCTCCCAGTACGGATTATTCTCTGCAGCTGGTTTGTTTTCACCCAAATGATTTCATCCACACGCTCGTACCTGGGAGGGGCACATACGACACAGCGACACTTAGACGTCTAGCCAAATTACTTCTGCTTAATTATTTACTTAATAGGCAGTTTTGTCATAATAAGAGAAGCATCTTTCCAGGAATCTACCAAGCTAATTTACTGACAAATAATATCATAGAGATGCAAAGGATGTTTAGAGAGGCTCCTACCCCCAGAGGCTCAGGCACTCCCTCCCCAACTCCATAGCCCTGAGAGAGAGAGAGACGACAAAAAAATGATTATTCAAAAATTACTGAAACAGTAATCATATCCTGGTTGCACCCAGTTTAGTGAGACAGCTACTTTTTTTGTTCCATTTGCCAAGCTTTGAAGGCCTTCGTGCCTTAAATGCATGTTCAAAGCTGACTTAAATACGCATTTAAGACAATGGCAGGTAGTTGCTAGGTAACCAATGACATACCTGCCTGTCACCCATAGGAAAAGGAATCCGTCGTCCTGGAGAATGGGGATGTTGAGCTTCCTCATCTCGTCATCAGTTAGCGTCCCATAAGGTAGCTCCATGTGGATATCCCAGGGGGGGTCAGCCATCACGACAGCAAACTTCCCCAGGATGGACACATCCAGGTAGCGGATGTCGCAACAAATCCACTAAAAGCAAACCAAAGAAAAGTAATGCTGTATATCCAATCCAGAGAGAACTTACTGCTCCACAGCCAATCCGCAGCTTTAGAGCCTAATGCTTTGCAGCGAATCTGCAGCCTAAGAGCCTAATGCTTTGTATCCATTGCTTTTCACCTGCGAGGGGAACAGCTTGCCGACGTTGCTGTCCGGGTCCCCAGAGTGCAGCCCCAGCTCTGTGGCCCCTGCCTGCGGCCCCAGGGATCCCGCCTCTGCTTCCGGGGGACAGTCGATCTCATAATGCACGTACTTGCAGGTATCCATGTGGAAGCAGGTGTTGAGGAAGGAGCAGTCGCCCAGGCTCTCATCTGTGTGCTTGTTTATGATGCGTCTGCAGGGAGGCCAAACGGCATGAAGTTACCAAAACAGAAACTAAATAAAAGGACAATGCAAAACAATTAAGTGCTAGATCAGTAAAGACATGATCAAATATGGGACTGACATAGCGAGTATCAAAGTTGATTTCAACCTAAAAAAAAAAAAAAAAATTAAATGACATCATATTACCTTTGTGCCAACTTCCTTACAATTTGGTTAGTGACCTACTGACACTATATATAGTGACATCAAAGGGCCTAGGTGCATGTTCATAATAACCGTATTGTGTGCAACATCATAGCGTCAGCCCACCGAAAGGGGTTACAGGGGTACAGACCGGAAGTGCAGCTTGGTGCAAGGCTGGGGGGCATCTCCTGAGCGGATGCACTCCTCCTTGGTTCCGTGATCACAGAACTCCTGGACTTGGGCCCGCCCACGAGAACGGAACTTCTCCACGATAGACTGCTCCTTGGCTGAACTCGTGTTTAGGAGCTCCAGGATCTCTCGGCTCACCTAGAGGGAAACGGAGATTGGGGGTGAGCAACAGCTGTATTGAAAACGGCGACATAACTTGAAACTTTAACATATATATTTAATACAAAACATGGGCTTCTTGTTCTTCTTTGATCATCAGGGTGAGTTTTACTGCACCCCAAGCCCCAATGGCTCTCTCACACTTTTCCCTCCCTTCCTCTCCTCACCTTTTTGCTCTGCTGTTCCTTGGTGGACTGTTGGTTCAGCAGACACTCAATTTCCATGTCCAAGTGGGATGTCGGACCCTTGGAAGACCTGCCCTTCTTATCTGCTCCACTGCTCCCTCCGGACTTCCAATCAGACGTCCCTCCCAGCTGGGATGACAAGGCTATCGCCAGTGAGGAGGGGGTTGAGGGGGAACTGGGGGACTGCATGGAGGAGCCAGAGCCTGGGGTTCGTTTGGGGTGGGGCTGCTCCTCCGCTTTCCTCTTGACACCTGTCCTTTGGGCTGGGGCGCCACCGCCAGTCATGGCCCAGATTTTTGTGTGGTCCACAGAGGTGACGAGTGTGGAGGAAGGGGTGGTTGAAGAGGAGGTTGAGGGAACAAGAGATGGCTGCCGGACTTCAATCAGCTCCTGGGCGGAGAACTTAAGCAGAAGACTCTGGATGCAGCCATGTGAGGCTGGGGAATCAGGCTGGGTGGGGTCACAAAGACAAAACAGGCAGTTGCAGACAGAGAGAGACAGGGGGCAGTGTGTGGCTCAGTGGGCTAAGTTTCTACGGCTGTAATCAGATGATCGCTTGTTGAGCCCTAGCCTTGGCAGAACAGTCCCATCTCCGCGGCCCCTTAAGCAAGGCCCTTAACCCCCAGCTCAAGGGGCGCTGCATGTTAGCTGGCCCTGCACTGTGACCCACAAGCTATGGAGAGCAAGATGGGCCAGGCAAAGAGAAGCATTCCAATGTACCTGTACTTGTACAAATGGTTAAATACAGCGTGTTTGTTGATAAATATCTCCAGTCCAGCACAGATTCCAGTATAGTAAAGCTATTCCTGAAACACGTACGCAGACAAGCATACTCACAGTACTAAGCTGGCTGGTAATGGTGAGCGAATCTGTTGGAAGCACGAGGCTCAGTTCAGATAAATAGCCCAAGAGTCTCCTCTCCAGTTCTGGGTCAGGGGGGCGCTCTGCCTGAGGGGGGCTCTGAAGAGCTGGCCCTGGGCTGTCACTGCGTACTGACCCCCCCTCAGCTACCCCCACCTCTGCAAACAAGCATAGAAAAGAAAATTGGGTACAAAACTGAATATATAGAATACTTACAGTACATTTATGATACAAGGGGAGAAGGAGACACTGAATCAACACTGCACAGAGACATAGTTTGTGTTACATTTATATTCAAAGTTACTTAAATACATTATTTCTCAGTTGGGCCTGACTAATATGAAAATTCAAAATTACAAACTTAGAAATTTCTCTAACCTATATTGTCAAATCACTGTATGAGGTCAAGAAGTATGTCAGTGAGATTCAAACAGCAGAAGCTCCGTCATAAAGTAAAATAAATATACACTATATCTTCTACTTCTCCCTGTATTAGATCAGACAGTGCATGACTAGGGAGTTTGTCTTTCTGGATTTTGGTCACTCTGTTATTGTATACATGGTTGTGACTGTTCCTTGGTTATGCTAATCCCCCTGTTTTGGATGGTAGGATGAGGATGCCTTCGCTTCTCGTACTTTGATGTGTGTTTTTGGGTTAGTCGGGGAACTAGGTGCAGTGGAAAGATGGCAGTCTTTGTTTTTCCAGTGGAATGGGCTCCCCGCAAACCCGAGCACGATAGGCGGCTGGGTGGATGGCCTCCGCACGTACCTATGCCCAGCTGCGTGGTGTCTTTCCGCCTCCGCTGCAGCCTCTCCCGCAACGAGTCCAGCTGCTTCTTGTGCGCTTGTATGTTGCTCCATGTATCCGACATGACAATCGACACGGTCTCCTTTACGGACCCGTTACGCTGCTGCTGCTTTCTGCTAAAATCCGCGCTGATGCACGATTCTGCCCGAGTTCACTTCGCCTCCTCGCAATCACAACACAAGGTCCGACTACACAACTAACTATTTAAATCAGCTACGACTTTTGTTAAGTTGTTGCGTTTGTTGCTGCCGTGACGCCTTTTCACTGTGATCATAACAAAGACTGTAAGAAAGAAGATTTCATTCATATTACATTAAATGCAACCAGGGACTGTACTGTTAAGCACTACTGCCCGGCATGTTGTTCTAAAAGGGCACGTTTCCTCTTCCGGATCAATGTAGTCCAAACCATAGAAATCTTTGAGTAATTTTTCGAATTAATAAAAATAAATAAATAGGTTAGTAATCACCCCCGCGAATCTATATATAAGCGAATGCTTATGATTTTTCATAACTTATATTTACAGATATACATAGACAGATATGCTGTACATACCGACCATGCACTGGACAAGTGTTACAAAGACAAATAAACGATAGTGTTTATTATACATAAATAAAGACATACACTACATACAATTTCTATACCCAAGTTATTGTTTTATTGGCACATTCCATAGCGAAACATCCACTGAACTAGACACTTAAAAACCCAACTTGCCCAACAGCGATCCCCCACGCCGCGCCACAAGGTGGCATACGCATCTATATATGTCCCCTAAATCTACGATATGTGACCCAGGCTCCACAGTGAATTCTGATCTTTTATTGGTTGTTATCTTTCAGCGTGCCGGCGAAGTTTGGCCAATGAGGTGCTGCAATGCTACGCCCTTCAGTCACGTTACGCAGGGAACGCGCATATTTACATACATCTGGTAGTATTTGGTAAACATGGCTGACGTTGAGAAGGAGAGTGATTCGGTTAATAAAGAGGACTTGCAAGTTTTGAAGGTATCATGTGTTGATGGTGTGTTATTTATGCTGATGTAAAACAATTGTGGGTAATGGTGTACGTATGTATTTTTCCTGTATGCACAACATTACACTGAACTTGGTTCTTTGGTGTTCTTTTGCTGCTGGGTTGCTTAATATAACGAGTTGTCAGCTATGAAATTTTTACCTATAGCCGATTTTATATTTCTGCGCTATGTACTTTTGCTGATACAACATCCTAGCACACTGCACTTGTAGTCTGTGACGTATCGGTCCTGCGTCACTTTAAATTATTGTAATAATTATGTTTACAGTTTTAATAGACGTTTCAATTTGTATCCAGCAGTAATCTGATATAATAACGGTTGTGCGTTTGTTTTCATAGGCGTTGTTGTCCGCGCTGTTAGGGACTTGGCATGAACGCTAGTTGGGTTATGACTGCCCACGATCACTTTGGTGGATGGACGTAAACTTCGGTATAACCGTTCGGCTAAAACGATTGTGCTCGACTGGTGTTTATGACAAACCATTTTAGCCTTAATTAATTTCAAGAGGATGTCACAAATTAAAAGAATTAAAAATTCTTTCTAAAATTCAATTTTAAGTAGTTATAATTCCAGTTCTTGATTTCGGAAATTCTGTTTTAGGTAGTGAGATCCAAAACATTTTTCTCATTCATATCAATGTGTGTTGGATTTTAAACTAGTTAAAATGTCAGTTCGCTGTAATTAAAATTGTATTGTAACTAGTTGAATTGAGTTCCTGGCATCATATATTGTCCCTAAACAAAATTAAATTTTACATCAGACTCTTCCCTGGTTGGATGTGGATTTATTGATAGATTTTTTTTATTATTATTATTTTCTGTAGCAACTTGTGGATGAGCTCTATCAATTCCGGGACCACTACTTTGAGACACACAGTGTAGAGGATGCTGTGAGGAAGCAAACTGATGTCAATCATGAAATGGAAAAGACTCTGAACCTGCTGAAAGAGAAAGAAGGTTAGACATTTAGTGTTTTTGTGTGTCTGGTTTGTTTTGACTTGGCTGCCATTTTCTTCCATAGTCGGGTTACTCCATAATTTGATTTGTCAGTCTAAGCATCTTATTTTTCTTGTCTTACGTTCTATGAAATGGTTAAGGGTAACCAAATTTGATTTTTTTTAAGAACCTGCATCCTTTATGTCTTCCTCCACCAGGGCAGTACCAACATAATGCTCAGTACCTGCTCCTCCGTGGCCGGTGCCTGGGCGTGGTCTCTGGGTTCAGCGCAGCTGCGGAGGAGAGCCTCTCTCGAGCTGTAAAACTGGAGCCGGGCTTAGTGGAGGCCTGGAACACCTTAGGGGAGCAGTTCTGGAGGAAGGGGGACCTTGCTGCTGCTAAGACCTGCTTCACTGGGGCACTACAGCAGGTCAGTCTGAGGGAGGGGAGACGGAATGGGGTACTGCAGCAGGTCAGTTTGAGGGAGGGGAGATGGAATGGGGCACTGCAGCAGGTCAGTCTGAGGGAGGGGAGACGGAATGGGGCACTGCAGCAGGTCAGTCTGAGGGAGGGGAGACGGAATGGGGCACTGCAGCAGGTCAGTCTGAGGGAGGGG